AAAAAGGAGGATAAGAAGAAGTATGGAAGTGTCCTGCCTGTCCCTCTCACTCTCTCTCAAGAAGATGATACTAACCGAGAAAAAGGAGGATAAGAAGAAGTATGGAAGTGTCCTGCCTGTCCCTCTCACTCTCTCTCAAGAAGATGATACTAACCGGTGAAAGGCAGAGCCTTAAGCGTATGTCTCAAAGGAGAAGGCCAACAATGACCGGCGGCAGACCGCTTAGATATGGTTGCCAGTTGAGTGGACATCTCCCCTGCACCACCCATCTCCTCTGGCTCTACACAGAGCTGCTCAATCTCCTCTAACACTGGGCTCATCTACCTCCTCTACTGTTGGCTGGTCTACCTCACACCTGCTGGCTCAAGAGTGAGCTGAAGACTACCTACCCACTACTGGGCTGCCCTCCCCCATAGACTACTGCCCTGGCCACCAACCTGACCTGCCTCCTAGACCATCCGACTGGATCAAGATCTGATGGCCTGTGAAGGAGGCTGTGTCCTGCCGAGTCGCCCAAGCCCAAGAACAAGTGGCCAGAAACAGCACCTGGTTGGAAGAACGGGCCTTACATAAAACACGTACACAGTCCCAGCCACAGACAGACAAGCTGGGCCAAACGTGAAACAGTATCTGCCAAAGGTCAGGATGAACCTGTGCCTGTTCAGGCAAAGTCCTGGGAAATGCAATCCAGACCAGGACGAAAACGAGCTGGCACAAAAGGAAATGGTACCGACACCGGCAACATGCTCAAATCAAAACACAGCAAAATTGAGCAAACGAAATAAAACTGAACTGACAAGAGAAAATATACACATGCATGGACTCAGAACAGGCAAAATGCATAGACACCTGTCTAGGAACTCACTCTCCAAGGTCCTCTAGGTTGGCTGAAGGTCTGGAAAAGACCGAGGCAGCCAACGACCCGGGCCAAGCGTGGGAGCCCCACAGCATGCGACAGGGAGAGAGGGAGAGGAAGGAAAGGAGGGAGCGAGGAGGGGAATGCGACAGGGAGGGAGGGAGAGGGAGTGTGGAGGGGAAGGAGGGAGTGAGGAGGGGAAGGAGGGAGATAGACAGGAGGAAGGGGATGGGGGGAAAACGCAGGAAGGTGAAAACACTGGCACAAAGGAAGAGAGAGGGAAGCAGGGAGGAGG